TAATAATAATTATTATTATTATTATTATTATTATTATTATTATTATTATTATTATTATTATTTAAACATATAAAATAATAGGAGAGTTTAGGGACTGGGACCCTGCCCACTTAATTCGAATGACGCATGGGAGGAATAGAAAAGTTTTATCAGCAGCGGAAGAATCTTTCGGATTCAAAACATTAAACGGTAAAAGTAAATCCTGGTATGATGAAGTCGTCGAAAAATCAATTAAATCTAGGAAGGAAGCTTGTAGGTAGGATCCATCGTATTCTATGGTTCACAAGACTAACTTTAGCATGGACATTTGTAGTTCACAATGGGTAAAGTACCAAGAAAATAAAAACGATTGTAAATCAATAATAAAACGTAAAATAATGAAAAATAAAGTAGAGAATTAATCAAAATTAATGGAAAGAGGAGGACCACAATGATGAGTTTCTGGACAGAACTCAAGGGAGGAAACCCAGAAATATAATAAACTCAGTCCTAATACAAGCTCTGACCAATCAACGAATGAATACACTAAAGACACATTTTAGCTCACTCGCCACGATTGGAAATCGTGAAAAAAGTCATGACGGTATTCAATTAATAAACCAAACTGATATCCCAATCGATAAAAATATAGGCACATGTTGAATGATTTCATACTTTACATGTAATGGGGTTTTAAATGCCATATCCCAAACAAAAAGTGATAAAAGCCCAGGAAACGATACAAAATCAAATGAAATATTGAAAAACGGCGGAGACGAAATGATCATATGTATAAATATTTAAAGACTAGCAAACTTACAACATATAGGGCCTACCAAAAAAACATTCACCTGAAGAAGGCCACTGCGTGGTCCAAATCTTGTGTGATTAAATACACTTTTGTTAGTCTGAAAAGTACTGTTTGTTCTTCATTTACTGTTAATATATACCAGATGAATGGAATGAAGTAATTACGATTATTCCATTATTCAAAAAGGAGATCGGTGTGATCGCAACAATTATAATAATAATAATAATAATAATAATAATAATAATAATAATAATAATAATAATAATAATAATAATAATAGTGTAGTTTTATATAGCGCACATATCCATCTAATATAAATTCATGTGTCTCAAAAGTCTACAATAAACTTATCTCCCAGACTGTGTCAAAGTTTCTTGAAGATAAGGAACTCCTCACTGAGGTCCAAGGTGGATTTAGGAACGCCAGAACTTCATTTTAAAAAGTATTATCGCTACCCGACAAGCCGAAGGTAAAAAACCTACATGGCCTTCTTGGATTAAAAAAAAAAACGTTTGACAGCCTGGAGAGATGGATTATTCTGCGGTTGAAAGGATCGGTATAGGAGGCAACCTCCATAATTAAAAACCTATAATGTTACCGTTAAATGTAAAGTATCTTCAGGTAATTATGTTAGGCCCCATTTGAAATTGAAGAAGGTGTCAAACAGTGGTGTACACTTTCTCCATTATTATTCATCTATATTAATGAATTAAATAACATGACGCATAGAAAGCTAGGAATAAATATTTCGATACCATAATCGGTTGCCTTTTCTGGGCTGATGATGTAGTCTTGATCGGTGAGAACGAAAAACAACTTAACGAACTATTAAAAACTACAGACGAATTCGCAAGAAAATGGAAAATGAGCTTTAATTATAACAAATCAAATGTCATAATATCAGAGGTCAAAAAGTAAATAATTATAGAAAATGGAAATTGGGCGATAACTACATAACTGAAGTAGATGACAGGGGCGGATCCAGAGATGTCCAAAAATGGGGGTGGGGCGAAAGTGGGGAGAATGTTGGGCCGATCGAGACAACACTATTATACTAGGGGCATGCCCCTGCGAAATTGTTGTGTTCTAGACGCCAGAAAATAACATTTGAGGCGTTCTGGGCTACCATTTTTTCCTTTTCTTTCTTTTTTTTTCTTTTTTGTTTACCTCCCAAAAAAAGGGGGAAGGGCCGGGCCGGCTCCCCCCCCCCCTAAATTCTCCCCTGGATGACTACAATTACTTACTGTAGGTGTAATTATTTCAAGATCGCTGTCCGATTCACATCACATCGATGAAGTAATCAGAAAAGGTAACCGAATTATTGCGTACTTTAAGTCTATTATAAACAATCAGGGCGACTTCAATAGAGTGTACTATGGAGATATACCGTACTGTGGAGAACAATAGGTTTACCAACCGTAAATTATGCATGTTCAATCTGTATGGTTCTGTGCCGGAAAACCGACCACTGCAAAAAACTAGAAAATCTTCAATACCAAATGGCTCGAAATGTGCACCACGAAATCACGCTAAAGACGCCTGGTATAGAGATCAAGACTGGCAATCAATCGAGTCAATTCAAAACAATTTCATAATACAATAAAAAAAATGGCCACGAATTTTATTGAAAGCAATTAATCATGTTGAACCCTCATTTAAATGGAAGTGACTAGATACAATAAAATGTATATTTAATAAATGTGATCACTCAAGAATGTCAATACCGAACCTCAAAATGGCTGGATAAAAGAATTTAAGAAGATTAATAAAGAGACTAAAACATAGTTTGAAAATTGTAAATTAAAAAGTTCACTAACAATTAAAGTATATCAGATATAAAATAGACCTATATTTGAACCCTATCTACTAGACAAAATAAATTTCAAAGGAATTACATTAAAATTCAAAACACGAACTAATTCTCTAAACCCTAGAGGGTAAAAAGCAGACATGGTCTGCACAAAACAATGGTTTTTGTAAATTATGTTCCCTAAATTTAAAAGAAACAACCGACCATTTTTTATTTACAGTAGAACCCCTATTAAGGGGACACATAAAAGTGTCCCCTTAATAGGGGTGTCCCCTAAATAGGGGTATCCCTATTCAGGGGACACTAATCAAAAACGTGAAATTGTCCCCTAAGTGGTTTTTGGCATGTTTTCATATAACGATGACATGTTATAATTCCTTATAATTTTATTTTTATAGATTATGATTAGTTACAGTAGAATTAGAATTCATTTATAGCAATGATTTGCATTGCAAATACAATTCCTTTATGTGAAATCAGCAGAAATGTAACTAAAACAATAGTTTTATATGTTGCCAATATTATTTCATGATGCAATGTTAATGAATGAGGATCCTATGAAAGTGCATTAAAAACGAAGAAAAAGAAATCCCCATGGTTAAGGGTCGAAACTGACAAGTGGTTTATACGAACTAACACAGTATACGGCAAATATTACTTCAATATTCACTCCAAAGACTTGGGGAGAAAAATCTGGTTTATTGCTCAAATTCAATTTTCATTTTCAATTTCAATTTATTCAAAAACCCTCCAAAACAGAGAAGTAAAGTAACAGAACAATAGAACAACAATTTATAAAATGAACAATGCAGTATATTCTTCATACATATACCAGAAAAATTAAAATAAAAGCCACAAAAAAATTGGATATATTCTCAAAATACAAAATTCAATCAAATCAATAAGAGGTGAGAACAGAACACCACTTTAACAGATATAAGCAAAACAACAACCCATGAAAATACTTAAACACACCATACTACTACCAAACAAAGACGGAATATTTTACTTGATTCAAAATTCTTTTTGTAGGCCTATTTCAATTTCAGTTAAATTATTATTATTATTATTATTATTATTATTAATATTATTATTATTATTATTATTATTATTATTATTATTATTATTACTTAGAAGCTCACCCTTGACAAATAGCAGTGGAAAGTGATAATAGTTAGAAATTGTAAGTTCCTTAATAAGTTGCTCAAAAATGTGTCACTATAAAGTTGAGTGAATTTTTCTTATGAGACTGTTGTAAATTTGTTGTGATTCAATAAAAAAAAAAAATAAAGTGTCCCCTTAATAGGGGTTATTTGACCATTTAGCACACTTAGAAAATGTCCCCGTCCCCTTAATAGGGGTGTCCCCTTAATAGGGGTTAGCCGCAGTGTTAAAGATATATCGACCCTCGTTTCACGGAAGAGTGTCCCTTAATAGGGGTGTTCCCTGAATAGTGGTGTCCCAAAGGAGGGGTACTGTATTTGTGATAAAATCCAGCCATTTACAGAAAAGGTTTATAATGATTTAAAAAATGATCTTGTTAAATGGGGGTTAGGTGAATTTTGGGAATCTTTTAATAACCCGATCGTTATAAACATCATTTATTTCTCGATAATCTTTATGAACAAATTGGTAACCATAACTTAGCAGAAATATTTGATAATTGTTGTTGAGGTACTTCTCTAAGGCGCGTGGAAATTGAAATC